GAACCCCATTCTGATAAGGATGGTACCCCCCCGCTGCTTCCGCAGGACTTCACAATCTGATGGAGAAAACCGGCTCTCCGCTCTCCCCCCACCAAACCTAGCCTAATGTGGAAAACATGGCTTTCATCCTTAAATTCCCTAATGGGAAGGACCTAATATTAGCCTGTTGGATGCCCCTGGGCTGAGAGCAGAGGCAAGAGGGGTGGACGGATTCAGTCCAGTCAACAAATCCTTACCACGCATCTCCAATAAATCAGACCCAGAGGTGGATAATGGGCCAGCAAACAGAAAACAGAAATAGCCCTCACACCACAAGGAGCTCACCAATTGGGGAATAAAAACACCTGGGGTAGGAATAAATGTGTGAGAAACTGCCATGAGATTCACCCACCCAGCACCCTGCGCCTGCACCTGCACCTGCTGTCTGCACTTTCCGTCTAGACGCCTTGGCCTTCGCCATGCCCCAGGACCCAGCTCAGAAGGCACGTCCTCATGAAAGGCATCCCCAAGAACCCCAGCCCCAGTCAGATGCCCCTCTTTCAGGAGCCAGCACAGACAGCTTCGCCTGTGACCAGCTCACATTTCTGCAGCTTCCCTTCCACCCTCAGCGGAGCCGGACCCCCCCCCCAGGTTCCCACACCCCCAGTCTCCACCATCCTGAGCCCAGGGCCTCACACCCTTCCTCCACGAGGCCCACCTCAGGTCCAAGCACGGGGAAAAGCAGAGTCCTCTCCTCTCCCCTGTGCCCCTGTGGCCCAGCTTTGCCCTTACCACCCCGTCAAAAGCCCCCTCGCCAAGTCACCGGCCACTGCCTTCTGGCTAACTCCCAGGAGTCTCGCCCAAGCTGGTTTCCTCTTCCCCCTCAGGCATGGGTGCTCTCCAAGGCCCCAGCTGTCCCTAACTCTCCTCTCTGCCCATGCCATACCTCTTCCCTGCACCACAGTACCCACGCTGTGGACAAGTCTGAAGCCCAGAAGCCAGCCTTGACTGGGGACCAGAGATGGTAAGTCAGGTTCAACATTGCCACTCCCAGCAACCCCAGAAGCATCCCTTGACAAAGCCACAAGACATCCTCATGTTCCAGTCAAGATAGGTCACACAGGGCTTAACTGCCAAGAGAGATGACAGCCAAGGTTCGGAGAGCTGGTGATGACATGTCCCCAACACACCCGCCCTCCTCCCCTTCCAACAAAGAAAACTTCACAAACATCTGCAGGAATGAGAATTCCATTCCATCCCATTGCCTCTCAGGATGCCCCTCCTGTTATCTGACTCTGATCGTTCATGTTTACCGCTGCGGTAGGAAGAACAGCAAGAACCAGAAGGGATGCACAGCTGGAGCGTGGAGCTGCCAGGGAGGTGGGGGAGGCCAGCTGTGTGGGCCATTCAGCCCTCTCCCTCTGGGTGAAAGCGCGGTGCAGCAGTGGGCTTTAGTGAACACACAGGCTGGCTTCTCGGCTGAATGGCAGCAGACAAATTAGTCTCTCCTAGTCTGTTTCCTCAGCTGTAAAAAGCAATCACAATCCCTCCATCAACAGGATCACCGGGAGAACCAAATGAGATCATGCATGTAAGTCTCCTGACACATACCAGACACCCGAATGGACACCACCTCCTCATTCATATTTCTCAGTTGCGTCTTCTCCCCAACCTTAGCTCAGATCCTGCCTTCTCCCAGGCTCCTCCCCGGCCTCCTCACCCGGTCTCCCTGCTTCTGCCCTCCGCCCCCTGCCACTGCCAAAGGCGTCCCTCTGCAAGGGAACTCTGCCCCCATCCCTCGTCTCACGCCCCCCCACCCCGAACCACCACGCCCTCTCTCCTTAGCCTGACATTCCAGGCAGTTGCCAATGAGCCTGTATTTCTCTCTTGAGGCTCACCCATCATCACCAGCCCAACCCGCAGGCTACACAGGGTGCTTCACGTCTCCTGGCCTTTGCACATTCTGCGCCCTGAGCCATGAATGACATCCCCAGGGCTACCGCCTTGGCCTCCTCATCCTTCCAGATGAAGCTCAGTAGCTCCAAAGCCACCTCCTTCCCAGGAAAGCTTCCCTCACCATGCCCCCTGTTGGGACCGGGGCAGGGGCTCTTCCTTAGGCCTTCCACAGCACCTGTCACCCTGCCATGTAACCACTTACTCTGCTCTAAATCCTTCGGGGACAGAATGGGGCCCTTCCTCTGAAGCTCCAGCCCCAGACCCTCAGTCAACATTTGTTGAATGGAGGTATGACTGCTCCCAGAGCACCTTGGTAGAGCAGTCATACCACCTGCCCTGTAATTAATCCCATCCAGGCATTTGCCTCACCCCTCCTTCCCCCCGGACCTCGAGACTTCCTAGAGGACAGTGACAGTTTCTGACTAATTCTCACTGTCATTTTCATATGGGGCGGGGGGGTGAGTCCAAGTGTAGGAATGGATGCCATGACTCCTGATCCTCAGAGTATGGGATATTTGCAGTTTCCTCTTCTAGGTCAGAGAAAGAAACCCATGGCCTACGGAGTGAGGCACAGTACAGCCCATTATTGATTTTGCCCTTCTCTTCCAAATTACTCAGGAAACCTTTCTGGAAGGGGAAAGGAGGCCTCCTGGGGCTACAGGGGAGAGAGAGGGAAAGAGCAGGGCCACCATCCATTGAATGGACTTTAGCCAAGCCTGGGCTCCAGGCTTCGGGCAGCACCTCTTCCCCTGCCCAGCAAATTCAATAAACACAAGAGAGCCCTGAAATGTTTAAGTATTAACGGCTCCAATTTACGGACAGGGAAACTAAGGTCCAGAAGGGTAAAGACAAATGTCCAAGGTCTCCCAGTGAGTTAGAGGCAAGCAGGGGGAGTTGTGGAAAAGATCCTGACCCCAAAGATAGGGTCTCCAACAGGTACCTGGCTGCTCACAGGGTCCCCATCCTGCTGACACCCTACGCTGGCATGGGGAGCAATGACACTCCTCTTCAAGTCACACAGAGGCAAACCAAGGCCCAAGAGGGGCTGAGTCACCCTGATGGCGAAGCAGCGCAGGAGGAATAAACGAGAAGAGCAAGGGCTCCTAAATCTCACGGGGAAAAGTCTCATCTCAATGGTCAGGAGGATCTCGGCTTTGGGGGACGTGGACATAGCAGAAGAGAGAGTCACACATCCTCTTACTGAGGACAAAGACCTGGTCGCAGTGCCGGCCAGCTGCAATGAGAACTAGTCATCAAGGTGAATGCAGAAGCCTCATGATCTTCTGCAGCCTTCCCTACCAGCCTGGGCCTCCACACACAGAGCAGGGCACCCCACCATGGCCTTCAACCCAGGGCCCATGAAGGGCTTGGCAGTGCCCAAGGGCAAGCCACAGAGAAATGGACCAAGTGGGCTCCAGCCTCTGCCCTGCTTCTCACGCCCCCTGACCTTAAGCAAGTCAGGTAATCTCTAACACTCTAGTTCCTTTTCTGGAAAACAGGAAGAGGAAAATTAACCTCCTTGAAGAGGTGTCAGGAGGATGACTGGGAAGCAGTTTCTAAATTATCTCCAAGCCTCAGTTTCTTCTGAAAAATGAAAATAATCTCTGGAGGATCTTTCTAATGCTGTTGAGAAAGAGTGTCGGATGGCAGTAGTGTGAAATTACTTTCTCGTGGTCACCAAACATGATGGCCACTGGGGTCACTTCCCCCTAGGCTATCTGCTCCTTTGGGGAAGGAATAGGTCTCACACATCTTTGATCCCCACACTATGCCTAGTATACAGCAGGCACTCCATACATAATTACTGGAAGCAAGAAGAGAGACAGGGAGGGTGGAGAGAGGGAAGAGAGGAGGGAGAAGTGGGGCACAAGGATAGAAGATGGAAAAGAAAGAAAAAATGAAAAAGAGGGGCTTGTAGAAGGGGGAGGGGGAGGAGAGAGGGAGAAGCTTCTACTGGCACTTAAAGCAGTAGGCGGAGTGAAGAGGTACAACCCGGGTAACAAACCAGTGCCTGATCTGGGCTTGTCTTGGTCTAGAGGGGCTATCCCCAGGGGCTGCCCTGCCCCAGCTCCCTCCCCTATTTTGTCCTAGTTTTCCATCTCAGAGGCAAAGCCCCTCCCTTTCTGGGCCAGGGCAAGCTCCTAAGGAGACAGGAACCCCTCTCCCCACCCCCACTTCAAACACACTGTAGCCAGCCACCCCAGGCCTCTGGAGGTCAGAGGGAGGGGAAACAGCGGATGGGATGCATGTTTCCCAGGCTCCGAGGGCCTGCCACCCTCTGTGATGTGTGTGTTTCCACTTCTTGCCATGTGGGGACTGGAGTGTGTCGGCAGCCCCAGGGTCAGCTGGCTTGTGACCATAGGGCTCCAGTGGGGGGGGGGGGCATTTGTCTGACGGGTCTGTGGGGGTCCGTGCTGGTGGGGTCTGGCAAACACGGTGCTGGGGAGATATGTGCCAGCATGAGAGTGTGAGGGTATGTCTCGGAGTGTTTGTTACAGCGAGTGCAAGTGACAGGGTATGTGTGTATCAGTGTGTGCCAACGTGAAGGTGTGGTAGAACTGACGTGTGCTGGAGTGTGACCCGTGTGTGACAGCATGACTGTCCGCAAGAATGTGTTCACGAGTGTGTACCAGTGAGTGTGTGACGGTGTGTCACTGTACACGATGAGCATGTGGCAGTGAAGGTGTGTGTGCGTGCCAGCATGAGTGTGCCCGTGGATGAGTGTGTCTCCGGGAGCGTGTGTGCCATTGTGTGGTAACCTGCCCCCTTGCGTCTCTGCGTCTGCGGGCCAGTGCGGGGTGTCGGCAGCCAGTGAGTGTGTGTGAGTGTGTGCGAGTGTGTGGCGGCGACGGGCTGCGAGCCGCATGGGGCGTCCGGGTCCTCGCTCCCGGTACCCCCACCCACGGCCCCACGGCGCCCACGGCCCCGCCAGCGACCACACACAGGACACCTCCGGCACAGGAGAGCTGCGTGCCGCGGAGCCAGGCGTCGGCGCTCCCGGGGTGACCGACTGGAACCCCCGCCCGCGCCCACGGGCACCCGGCCGGGCCGCCGCCGGCACTCACCGCGTCCCTTTGTCGCCCATGGTCCGCCGCGGCCGCAGGAGGTCCGAGGCGACAGCGCCCAGGCTGGAAAATCCCCGGCCGGCAGGAGGAGCGCGGGCCAGCCGGCTCCCGGCTCCCTGCTCCGCCTCCTCCGCTCTCCCGGCCGCCGCCGCCGCCGCCGCCGCCGCCGCCCCCGCCCCCGCCCCGGGCCCGCCCGCCGCGCCGCACAGCGCCCGGGCCGCGGCCAGGGGCGTGGAGCAGTGCGGGAGGGTGCGTGTGCCTGCGCGTGTGCTTGCGTGTGCGCGCCAGGGCAGGGCGGCGGGCGCGTCAGGGCCCCGAGGTCGGCACTGGGGGGTCCACGCCGCCGTGCACCCCGCTGTGTGTCTGGTGTACGTGAGGGCGCACGCTGGGGTGTCTATACGTGCGCGTGTGTGCACGCGAGTGTGCCGGTGCGTGTGCACGGCCGTGTGCTCCGGCCGATTCGGGAGTGTGTTCGGGTGATGGAACGGTGTGTGCACGTCTTTGTGCAGCTGCGCGTGTGTCCTGGGGCGCGCCCCCGCGCTAGCCGGGGGCAGCCTTTTGTGTGGCCCGAAGGGTGGAAGCCCAAGGTCGGCCCACCCCAAGGCCGAGCTCCCTCCCGGCGGCGCCCCTGGTGGGGTGGGGGTGGGGGCCTGTAGGAGACCCCGGGTGCCTGGCACGGCCTTAGTCCTATGCCCCACCCTCCCCCATCCCAAATCCCCGCCCTTCTGGAGCGATAACACCCAACAACCCTACAGGGACAGGAAGAAGGGGCCAAGGCGGGGAGGAGAAGGCAGCCATCAACGCTGGGGAACTGATGAGGGTGGGAGGGGGGCCGGAGACCAGCAAGGGGGGTTGGCAGTGGCTGCCCAGGAAGAGGAAGCAGTGAGCACAGGAGATAAAGAAGAAGCTTAGAGCTGGCCTGCTGTGGCCTGGGAGTCTGACCTGGCGGGTAGCACCATGAAAAGGCCCCTACTGGGCGCCTGGGTGGCTCAGTTGGTTGGGTGACTGCCTTCGGCTCAGGTCATGGTCCCGGGGTCCTGGGATCAAGCCCCACATCGGGCTCCTGGCTCAGCGGGGAGCCTGCTTCTCCCTCTCCCTCTGCCTGCCGCTCTGCCTACTTGTGCTCTCTCTCTCTGTCAAATAAATAAATAAATAAAATCTTAAAAAAAAAAAAAAGAAAAGAAAAGGCCCCTACTAAGCTTCATGGCTTTTTATGGGTGACACTGGCCACCAGCCCTCTCAAAAGGGCTCCAAACACATAAAGTGAGATACTTAATACAGATTGCAGAATTGTTCACAGGTGTTTGCTGCCCTCCCCTAGTGCCGGACACACACACTGTAGGAGCCCAGTAGATGTTAGCCCCTCCCTCTGCAGACTTCTTGGTGTCCTGTAATACCCTGGCTGGGATCCTGCTTTGTCGGAGTCCCCTTCCTGCTGTCCAGGTAGTGGGAGAGTATGAGGCCTTTCCCACCCCCTCACTGCTGGGATTTGGCTAACTGGCCCAGACAGATCCCTAATATTGGCATATTAATGGGAGGAAAGGAAGCTATCATTTATGTGATTGTGGGTCTGTAAACATCTCCTGTAATTATGCTCAGAAGCAGTTACCTATGCTGATTATATATAGTTGGGTAAGGATATCCCAATAAAATTACTGTAATTATATCCAGATAGGCAGGTGGTTGAGGAGGGTGTGCTCATAGGCAGACAGGGTGGTCTAGGGTCTGGGCAATGTTGGGAATAAAGAGAGTATGGATTAGGGCCTGGGACCTTCCTCTTGGCCTTGGCCTCTGGGCTTCAGCCTTACTCCCTCAGGGAAAGGAGAGAAGCCACCTGCTGTTTCTGCTGAGCCCAGGGATTTGAGAGGAGCACACCAGAGTCCTGTGTGATGACAGGAGGCTCATTGTGTGAGCTGGAGAGGACCCTAGCTGGGATGGAGAGACCAGGTTCTGCCACTCTCCGCATCAGTTTCCCCACCTAGAAAACAGGGGGTGGGTGGGGGGTCAACCCAACCATGTGATCTACAACAGCTCTCCTCGTGGTGATGCCCAAAGCACCTGCATTTTAAATTTCAGACAAATTCTTCATTTGACTCAATAAATACTTGTGTTTAGTTTGCTACAAGACATAATGTTGGGGGCGCCTGGGTGGCTCAGTCGTTAAGCGTCTGCCTTCGGCTCAGGTCATGATCCCAGGGTCCTGGGATCAAGCCCCGCATCAGGCTCCCTGCTTGGTGGGAAGCCTGCTTCTCCCTCTCCCTCTCCCCCTACTTGTGTTCCCTCTCTCGCTGTCTCTCTCTCTGTCAAACAAATAAATAAAATCTTTAAAAAAAAGGCATAATGTTGTGCATTACTTCCAAGTAAAACAAACACGGTCCAGGAAGATGCATCAGATGGTTTCAGGTACCGCTTGCCCCCACACAGCTCTTCCCAGCCCATTTTGGGAAGCATGGCTCTAGTGTTCTGAGGACAGTGAACAGATTGGTAGGCTGTGCAGTCAACGTGCACGATTTCAAGTACATCCCCCTTAGCCCATTAACTTCATGAGGGAGTTAACGGTGTGGCTGGCACTACTTGATGTTCACAATTCTATGAGATAAATTCTCTTTTCCCTCGTTTATAAATAAGCTGATGCTTGGAGAAGCTAAGTAGTTTGCCCCAATCCATAGCCTCCCGTGGACCTTGGCCTCTGACCTCCCCTTCTCCAGCTCCCCCCACCACCACCACCAAAGGAAGCTAGTATATAGAAGAGCCAGAAGCTGGCCTTTGATTCACTCTTCATTCAATAACTGTTCATCAAATATGCCACGTGTGGTTCTGGGAACTTATAAATCAGTGATCAGTAGGACAAACAGAGCCGTCATTCCAGTGAGGGATCTAGGATGGGGGAAGAGGAGTTAAGGGGTATTTTTGCTTTACCTGTCAGGTCCTTCAGATAGTATAAAGTATTCTTAGTATAATTAAAATTAACAAAGATGTAAAAGTGGTATGTTGAGGAGACCTCTCTAAATATAAATGATCTAATTTCAAGCAGTACTAAGTATTAGGAAGGAAATAAAACAGTAAAGAAACAAAGAGTGATGGGGGCAAGTGTACTCAGAAATGTGCTCTTGACCTCTGGGTAAAACTTGCAGGTAAGGACCCAGTGATGGGCAGTGTGCAGGGAGAGCCAGGGGGAGAGCCGCCCAGGCAGAGGGAGCAGCAAATACAGAAGCTGGGTCCTTCTGAAGCCCAGGAACAAGGTCAGGATGCCTGGATTTTGGTGAACGGGGAAGCTGTGGTGCAGATCATACAGCGCTTGCGGTTGGGTCGAGGAGTTTGGAGAGCCAGTGGAGGATGCAGGAGATGAGAAAGAGTACCCACTTATATTTTTAAAGGTCACTCTGGCTGTTGGCCGGAGATGTCTTGATCTAGACAAGCAGAGGCAGGGCATGCCATTACCACAGTAGGCAAGAGAGAGTGTATGGTGGTTTGGACTACGGTGGTGGCAGCAGAAATGAGAAGTAAAGGGGTTCATGTATATTTGGAGGTAGAGCACCTGCTGGGGGACCAACTGTGGACAGTGGAAGATCCAAGGTTACTCTGAGGTTTCGGGCAGGTCTGTTTGTTCCATTCTTCATGCAGGCCACCTCCCCACACATTTCCTCAAGGACACTGAGGGTTGAGAGTTCTGGAGGCTCCCTCCTTTTGCTCTTGACCCATTTGTTAGACATCCTCCCTCTGCAAACCAGATTGGTCTTTTTAAAAGGCAAATCGATTCTACTACTGGGTGCCTGGGTGGCTCAGTCAGTTAAGTGTCTGCCTTTGGCTCAGGTCATGATCCCAGGGTCCTGGGATCAAGTCCCATATCGGGCTCCCTGCTCTGAGGGGAGCCTGCTTCTTCCTCTGCCTGCCACTCCCCCTGCTTGTGCTCTCTCTCTCGCTCGCTCTGTCAAATAAATAAATAAAATCTCAAAAAAATAAATAAATAAAAGATTCTACTACTGAGGTTTGTAGGAGATGGTCGTGTCCAACTATGACCCAGCTTGGGCCAGTCACAGGCCTGAAGTTTACCACTCACAATAATCCTCACCAAAAGAGAAAGAGAGAAATGAAGTATTACTCCTGTTTTATAGATGAGAAAACAAGACCTCTAAGAGGGAAAGTGCCTAAGCCAAGGACATAGCAAATAAAAGGTAGAGCTGTAGCTGAAACCTAAAGCCTCTGCTTAGCTGGTCAGGTAGTTGAATGTCAGATTGAAGAAGGAGTGAGTGGGGGAGGGTTAGCTCCCTGTTCAACAAAGGATGTGAGGTTGACTGATGCATCCCTTTGAGATGTTAAAGATTAATAAACTAGGGAGCTGCCCTACTTCTGCCCCAACCAGATAGGTGTCATCTTTGACTTCTCCTTTGCGTCCCTTGACTTCTATCAAGCCGGTCCTGGACATCTACCTCCTAAGTGTCTCCCAATAAAGCTGAAGGGGTAGGCAGGAGCCAGACCATGCTGGGCCTGGAGGGTCATGTTAAGGAATTTGGTCTTTATCCAAAGATCAACGAAGATTTTGAGCTTTGAAAGATTTTAAGCAGAGTGGTGACATCCTCAGACATGCATTTTGAGAAGCTGGCTCCGGCTGTTGTGTAAAGGATGGATTGGATGTGAGCCAGAGGGGATGCAGAGGGGATGCAGAGGGGATGCAGAGGGGATGCAGAGGGGATGCAGAGGGGAGGGACTCTGTCGGCAGTTTAGGGGAAGGATGATAACCGCATTCCAGGGAGAGGACATTCAACAGCCGCAAAGCCAGGCAGGAAGGAAAGGGTACAGCACTTTGAAAGAATTCATATGGATCTGTGGCCAAAGCACAGAGAGGGGAGGAGTGGGACCGGAAAGGAGGATGGGGCCGTATCTTGAGGAAACTGGCTCATAGCTGGGTCTGCTGCCCAGTGTGGCAGGGTCTAACAAGACCTCCAGTTCGTTTAACAAGATTTCTTTATGGTGGGATTGTGGGTGTCTAACCATCACTAAGTGGACAATTCAAGGTTCTCATCTGTAATGGACAAAACCAATTCGGGCTGACTTAAACATACCAAGAACTTATTGGCAGGATATTCAGATAGCTGCTACTGCTGAGGAAGGAACACCACAACTCATACCCCCAACTATTGCCAGCATCA